TGAGGCATCATTTGTTTGCAGCTTGCCGAAGCGATGACGAGGGTCTTTGCATTCAAAGAAAGCGGGAACCTGGCCGAGAATCCATGCTGGCCCTGGCAACGCAAGTAGGCAGTCTACGTCAAGACAGATAGGTTTGCAAGGCTTACATCAGCTTTGGGTAAAGTCCGTCTGCTTGCAGAAGCAAGCCGGTTGGTGCGGCCAAGGTTCACGAAAGCAACGTTCTTTTCCATCTGTCGCTTGGCCAATTCTTAGGTCTTTGCACGGCGTGGGTCACACAGTAAGGAACTGTAGTGTCTGCAGTCAGGTTGGCGCTGCTCCTAAGAATCTTGGCAGTCCGTTGCAGTACTAAAGGTTATGAGCCGATCCCAATTGCACCATCTCCTTCTGACCTCATCATACCTCATCCAATTTGGACGTTTTGTTGGTGGGTTCTTACGCTCTCACACCATTTGGGATCTGGCAATCCAGAAGGCCAATTCTACAGGCCGCCTTGTGGTTGCCAATGCATATGGCATATGGAGTGTCTACATGTCCAGGCAGGAGGCCGAAGGCTTCAGGCACAGGGCTCCAGACAACTGGATTTCTGATGGCCTGGGCCAGGGTTATCCCTTGGCACGACTAACAAATTTGTGGAAAAAACGTGCTTTTGTGATTGAGTGTGGAACAATGGAGGTGCAGCTGCTACCAGGGCTGAAGCTGGGTCCAGAAATTCGGAAGAAGCGGGCAGGTGGGCCTAAAGTTGGCCTGTGAAAACGGACCTGTGACGGGTACACTTCCAAGAATCTGCAGGGACAGGCATGCGGGACGTGGTCCCTGAGGCTTGCAGCAATGCTGGGTCCCTGATTTAAGGAAACCTTTCAACAGCCCTGAGAGAGCTTGCCGAAGCAGACTTCATTCCACGCACGCCGCATCACGCCGCGTGCAAGTCCGGGAGCAGCGGATTTGAGGGCACTTATCAAACCCGAGGCCTCCAAATGAGCTAATTCGTTTCATGCATGTATATACTCGACGGCCGACTATGTGCAGCATTATTGCCGAAGGAAATTTTGGGGCCTCGGAGAAAGATAGTACACATATTTTAAATGTCAAGCATAAGCGAAGCTTTGCGCACAGCTATGCCGCTATGCCTAGCATGATTAGCATGACTGTGCTTTCGTGGCCGGCATTTGAGTGTGTTAAAGCAAGAAGGATTTGGAATCTTTCTAACGCCAAATTTCCATTCGGCCGCAGCAACTTTCGATGCCTGCAAGTGCGAGTCATGGTTCTGAGGCTGGACAATGGTGATGGACAGGTCACGGGGACCCCCGTAATAGGCGGTTGGGGGTATGTCACTATGGGCGCCGTCCATTCCCACGCCTATTTAACCAGTGTGGGGTGGGGGTAGGAAAAATAGGCGGCAATCCTCAGTTTCAAGGTTGCGCAGACAGACATGTGCTATCTGTTACATTGTGCCAACTCTATCATGGCAATGTGGTCAAGGGACCCCCAGCACTTTCAAGATATGGACTGATATGGAAATAGGCGGGCCGCCTATTTCCGGGAGCCCCCACATACCCCCACCCCCGAGGGGGTCCCCCTGACAGGTCACTCTGGAAGAATTCATCGCCTCTTTGCCGCGACAGCTTACAAAGCCGGTCAACACCGGGGCCATCAAAAGTCCGCAAACAACAGATTTCGAGATCCAGGAACCTCTTTGAAGGAAGGAAGTTGCGCAACACTGAGTCATGCAGGGTTGAACTGACACTTAGGTTCAGACATTGGGCAGTATTGAAGCTTGAGCCGAGGGGACAGTGATATGAGCTTATGTAATTAGCATGATTGTATTCTCGGGTTGTTTCGAACTATGTAAACGCCGCACTCATGATTTTCAGGTTTGAGTAGTTCTCGTCCTAGAGGCTAGAGGGTTATTGGCTGACAGTAGTGCGTGAGGTTCACAGCAGGGGTTGGAGGGTGTAGACAGATCATCCCGTACAAGTCAAGCTACATGTGTTTCTTGTTGGGGCACCTGGGTCTTTTTCAGCCAAGGATGGCATCATGAGATGCAAAGGTCCAGCGCGAGCGATAGATCAGGCAAGGCGCTAGATTCATGGACCTTCCCCAAAACGAGGGGCCCGTGACACCAGGTTCAGATTTAAGGTTTGAGGTTGAAGGTTGTTGGTTTCTAGGGAAGACCGGAAGACCAGAGTTTGCTTGGGACGATACTCACTGTGCAGCTGTTTCAAGCGGATTGCAGGGACTTCGGGATCAGAAGGATGTGCTTAACGTTGAGCTTTTGCATGCTCGACTTCGGATGTAGTTGACAGCTCTCAAGTTTGCATCCTGCAGAATGGGTCGGTTTTCCATCTATGGGTAGGTCAGCGATAAAATTGCGACAGGAGCGCGCGGGTAAGGGTTAAATGAGCCTACATCACATCTAGTTATTGTGGCTGAATACGGGAAGGAGCCGAATTGGCGCATGCCTACCCCGCACGTAAGTGGTGGGATCCTTAAGGCGTTTTGTATGATAACCCCACCAAAGCGCTGGCACCTCTGGGCCAGGTTGCCTTGCATGCCGAGATGAAGCAGATTGATGCAAAGCTGAGGCGCATGATGAGGCTGTCGCTTTGCTACATGTGTACTATGTTGGTCTTATAGGTTATGTGCAGATTTGGTAAACAGCTTTACTCCAAGACAGAACACTGCCTGGGGGAGTAAATCACTGAACGGCTTTCAGCTTTTCAGCAAGTACCCTAACATGTTAATTTCTACGGCCTTGCGGCAAAGCATCTGCTGCAAGGCTGAATTGGAGCCGCATAACTCCAATAGCACCTTCACTATGGGTGATGTCGGTCCATGAAGTAACCAACTGCCAGACGCTTTATGGCTGATATGGCCGAGCCGCTGATAAAGATGAGGGCGAGCCTGCCAGTCCCATCCAGTCCCAGCCTCATGATGTCACACGTATCTGTGGTCTATAAGGTTCCGCCGAATGCACAACCACCTTGAGAACCGAAAGGCTGCGCACGTCTGAGGCGAGGTAGCAGCGATAGCCGGTTATAGCCGCTACACCCCGAATTTATCGAGGAGACTTCCTGTCTCTCATGTGTGAGGATTTCTCTCTCATGTTTGAGTCTGTCGACGAGTCCTCACACTTGCACCCCACGCAGCTCTAGCAAAACTCTGCTGCAAGCGACTCAAGTTCACTGTAGACTCGCATGCCTACTTTTTGCTTGGCGTATCCCCACAGAGCTACAAAACTTGAAGGTTAGCTTCAGGTGTTCCGTGTGACTGTGACAGTATTATGGTTTGATGCAGCCTTTGCCGGACGCAGTCAGAGCTGAGCTTGTGCTTGTGGCACGCTGGAAGGCTTACAGTAGCCTGCCTTTTCCTATGCCATCACGGAACTGCTCGGCCAGATTGCCAATGGAATCTAAATCCACCCGTCTGAAATAGATGCCACTCTTGCGAAAAGCCAAGATTGGATCCGACTGATGTCAACACATGATGAATAAACTGGATGCTCGTTAACTACTGTGTAGTTAGTGCACACGATCAACGATTACGCTGATGCATTGCAATGCCTGTAAAAAGAGGGGTTGCGCTTTTGACTGGTAACCCGATTGGCATCTTTCTTAATTGGGTGGCGGGTGGAGGAATACACGGCGGATATGTGAACAATAGCACGCGTCAAAGACGCGCCTTGCAGAGGCACTCGTAGCATCATTTGCACCGTGGGCCTGGTCTTGCTTGAAGAAAACGCTGAACTGAGTGTAACATGATCGTTGGCTTGAGGATAAGAATTGGGACAAAGGCCCCCGATTTCCTCAGCAGCGGGCCAAAGCTGGTACGGCGTAGGCTCAAGAGCACTGGAATCAAGCACCAGCTCTTCACCCAAAATTCTGCAACACGGCCGGAAAGCTGCCACTTTCAAGTCATACTTCCTGTTACCCTTGACCCTTAAGCTGCAGTGAAGGAGTGAACCATGTAATTAACATCGCTCGACGATTCTTAGATAAGGCACCGTATACATTGCCCATTCTTAGAACGCGCTGGTAACGCAGACCATGTTTTGAAGCATGCCAAATCTGGCGGGTGTCGAAGAGTGGGCTGCGCAAAAATGACCTTAATCGTGAAACGTAGGGGTTTGGCCAAACTTTCATCGTATCCTTGCAGACGGAACATGCTGCGGTTTCTGGTTTTACGGTTGGGGGCTTCCGTGACAGGCTATGAGGGCCCGTTCAACAAAGTAAGGGTAACGAGTCACGTAGAAGTGCGCGGAACCTTCGGGGGCCGGCGGGAGTTTCGGATGACCGCTGATACTTGCGATTGCCGCCGTTTCTGGGGATGCAGGTTGAAATATTAGCCCATCCTCATGCTCTGACCTGTTTTCAGAATCTCTAGCTGCATGCAAGGCTGAGTTGGGCAGATCAGCAGCACTTTTCCGTCTAGAACGCCGATCTTTGTGAAAGACACCTTTTGTGTCGTCGGCCCGCTACGAGCAGACGTTTCAAGTCACCTTCTAGTTACGCATGGGTATAATACGGGCCCTTACATTCGGGTTCCCAGTAGAATCGGGTCCCTATGTGAATTCTCTCCATTGGGAACCGTACACTCCCCCAAACTAACATGGAATCCATATAGCCCCCCGCCAAATGAACTGCAGTCTTTATAGGGCTTTCTTTGGGTTTCCATGTAAGTTTCTGGGAGGTTAGTTAAGACAAACTCCCACATGTTGCGAAGCAGCATGCGGCTTCCCCTGGCCACGGCCTTCCTTCGGCGGGTGCTGTTGTTTGGCATCCCAATTCTGGGAGCCTTAGCATTGATGCTGTGGCTGTCGCGCGCTGCCATGCAGAGGTTCGTGTTTGCAAGGGTTGAGCTTTTCCGGATTTCAGGGTTTAGGGAATTTTTTAACCCAAATTCAGAGCTTGGGATTGTAGGTACTTCAGGGTTTAGGAAGTTTAGGGCTTCGGGTTTCGGAGCGAGAGAGGTACGTTTGGGTCGGTGGACGACAGACTGAAGAGATGGTGCCGCCTGCCTGGAAACTTCTCAGCCAGCCATACACGGAGTTGAAGGTGGACACCGTACCGAGGACGTGGGGAAGAAGGGGCCAAATGAGTTTCGAAGAAAGCAGCTTTAAGCTCAGCAAGCTTGCCGAGTGGGGGTTCACATGGTTTGGAGTGTATCCCTGAACTTATTAGAGCCCTAACCCAAAGCCCCAGGCGCTTCAAAGACAACAGCTCTGAGAAACTGCGAAGGACTGGCAACGGCCGCACTCTCATCATTTTTGCTTTTCGGACTGGCTGGTATCCATCTCCCAGCAGGGACATCCGCAACGTCGAGTTCTTCATTCGCCAAGTCGTGGCTGGGCCCCGCAAATCAGGTTTCAGCTCCCAGGCTCAGCTTGAGGAGTTTGGCCTAGAATAAGAGGCCCCCAAGTGGTTATAAGGGGCTCGTTCTAAGAGACCTAAGTGGGGTTATAAGTACCCTAAGTTAGGTTACATGTCCTGGCTTTACTGTCGACCTCCTTCGGAACGACGCGCCGGTGCTCAAGATTTGATGCAGGCCCAGGTAGCGGTGGAACTTTTTGGCCTCGTGGTTGAGGGTCTAAAGAATAATCTTTGTGGATTCCGTTGTCCGGTCTACTGTGCACAACCTGACCTCCCTTTGATCATCGTGCCCATTCTCCCCGGCACCTGTTTCGGTGCGCTTCTGGCTTTCAGTTTCCTCCGCCACTACCTTGGTCCTGTATTTTCAGGACCGGCTGCTCCTGCGGGGCAACATAGCCTTTCTCGCCAGAGGCTGGCTTTGTATGGGTTCTGAGGAGGAAGAGGTTACGCAGATTGCTTTGCACCTTGAGGGCATATCCATCTGTGTAACAGCACGTAGGCCCCGGGCCGCTTCTGCACCCACTATTCGAGTCTCTTCCCCGCATTCTGGCCCATCCCCGCCTTTGCATTCCTCAGTGTTTCCTGGAGCCCGTCAGGCTCCAGTTGAGGTCGCTTCGTCAACTTCCTCTGCCTCTGCCGCCAGGGCCGCTGCATCTACCGCCCCGGCCGCCTCCTTTCAACACCCTGTGTCTCCAGGTGTCGGTCAGACGCCTGTGCTCGCCCCAACCCTGCACTTGTGACCACTGCAGGTACCCGTGCTGCACTTGAGGCCTCCATCTGCGATCCCCAGTGCCGGGCTTGCTCAAGCCTCTTCCCTTCGCTCTGCTGTTTCGACCGGGGAGGCAAGGCTCCGCCGTGCCTGGATCGCTGGCTGCTGGGCCAGAGCTGTGTTCAGGGGGCAGATCCCTTCACCAAACCACACCCCGCGCCTTGAGATCCTCAACAGGTGTTTGGCTGTGGCCAGGTCCTCCGACAGGTCGTGCCATCTACCGCTCACGGCCTGCCTACCTGATTGCAGTCAACTTTTTTTCACGACTGCATTTCAGTCAGCCAGGGTTTCCTTCAAAACTCGAGGGAAGAGTGTACATAGACGCGGCCAGTCAGAACCCTCTGCCGGCCCAGCCTAACAATGGACTTTGAAGCCCTATCTCCCGCAGACTCAGGTGACCTGGAGCTGCTTGTGTTCAATCCCGACCTTGGAGCCCCAATGTTGCCACCATGCACTTGCTATTGCGTTTTCTCCTTTGCATGCCTCGGCTGGCGGTCCCTCAGGACTCCATGGATTCCGCGGCCGCTGCTGGTCACGTAGGGGTCTTAGGGCCAGCCACTGTTGTTTCGGTTCAGGCCGTTCTTCTTGCGAAGACGGCGAGTGGGCTCAGCCTCATCCTGCAAGGAGCCTCTCTGCTTTAGTCGTCGATTTCGACGCAGCCGTTGCAGTCTGCCTCATTCCTTAAACGCCCGGTCAAGGAGATGTCCTGCCCTTCGATGTCGGAGACCCCATGATGTTTTCTCTAACAGTCGAGGTATCTGCTGTTGCCGTGGCCTGGCTTCAGGGTGTAGAAGGCAACAAAAACGCTTCAGGTTACGCAATGGCAGAGGAGGGAGAGGTCGTGCATCCGCCTGGTCCCGAGTGGCAGGCCTCACAAAGCAAAGGCGGAGGTCAAGGTCAAAAGGCTGACTGTGGCCGCCCTTGCAACGCAACGGTGCTCTGCAGGAGCTCGAAGGCTCGCTTGCGCAACAGGTTCAGGCTATGTCCGAGAAGCAGGCGCAGGGCGATGGCGCCCTCCGGACACCTCTGTCTCAAGCACTTGCGAAGGTTATTATTGTGCAAACCAAGAGGCTCCTGGATGTTTTGGGGTACCCGGGTACCCCGCCCGCTGTGCGAACGCAGGCAAAGGCTGCCGGGCCATCTCCAGGCGCTGCTTTGTCGACGATGGGGGGACAACAGGTTGCCTCCGACTCTAATAGAAGTTATCCCTCCGCAGGCGTTCTATATAGGTGGTCTCGGCAGCCAGGCGGCGGATGTCTCCAGCTGCTTTTTCGACCATGACGGTGGAGACCGAAGGCGCCATGACCTGCTAGTTGCGGCAGGTTCAGCAAAGCAAAGAAGTTGGGCCTCCTGGCAATAGCAATGGATTTTGCTAGGCCAGGCATGCAGCGGGTATAGCCAAGAGCAGCTGCAGACGATTGCCCTATGACGGTGATGATCGAGCAGACAAGCCTCGACGGCCGCCCGGACTTGGGGTGTGGGTCAAAATTTCTGTTACGTAGAAAGCGATCTACATAAAGGCTTGTAGTGGGCTAACAGTCTTGGCCTAGGAGCAGTAGTGGCAGCGGTGCGGCAGGAGATTCACAACACACACCAAAACACAAGAGAATAGAACAACTTCACCTGGCAGGCCACAGAACAGGATTGGCAAGACTTGTAGATCTTGCACAGCCTTTCGCAAGAGCCCTTTGCCTTCGGAGCCTGCCAATACTGAGAAGGCGACTGGAGGGCATGGTGTCCTGGTCTAGCAGGACCCAGGGTAGTTGAGGGTGAAGGTTTCCACTGCCTCTGGCGTCAGCTTGGGTGGCAGGTGCTCTGCCCACGTGGACGGTTGGAGGGCTGCCACTTTAGTGCTTGCGAGGCTTGCACTGACAGGCTGCAGAGGGCTGCAAAGGCTGGACCCCGACGGAGCCACTTGCGTGTAGTCTTGCACAATGCACGGACAAGGCTGCGTCTGCCATGGACGGGCTTGTCTTCACTTCCTCGTCTAGGTTGCTGAAAAGGCTGTCCAGGTGTGACAGCGTGGGGAAGGCATACGCGAAGTCTTCCACAGTGAGCAGTTCCTGCTTCTGCAGGGCTTCCCTGAGGCTGGAGTGGACGTTGCAGTCCCTCAAAACCTCTGCAAGGGCCGCCGAGATCTCGCCAGACGGCGGGGCGGCCATGCATCAACAAGAATGTCAGATTAAAGACTGGAGACGAAAAGCAGGCACACGTGGGCTCCAGCTAGAGAGCACGCCAACCTGAAGGCAACTGAGGGCTGGACGCAAGGACTGAACCTGCGTGCTTGAAAGGCTAGAGTCATGGCTGAGGACTGGCTTGCAGAGCGCTGCGCTCTTTTCAACTTGAGGGCAACAAGGAATCTGAAATCATGCGCAGCAGGCTCTGCGTTTGCAACGGAGATTACGATCGAAGCGGTTGACCCAGAGGGCGTCTGCCCTGCTGCTCCTGAACAACTGTGTAAGGGCTTCTGCAAGGGACAGGTTGCAACGAGCTGGCTGCGTGGCGAGCGTGTCCATGGACGTCTATTCTGGAGATGACAGGCAGCGGAGGGCAATTTCTGCCCATGACGAATTATGTTTTGAAGCCCATGTCCCGACCTTCCACTGCCTGCATTGTTTTTTCTGACTCCTGCTGGAGGTTGCCACGCTGAATCCATGCGTCAAGCTCCTGCTGCAGCTTGGTCAAGAACCCCTCGTCAAAGTCGACCTTCTCGGAGCCTTTTTTCTGACGACTCCGCCACCTTGGCTACGCAAAAACTTGGGAATGCTGCAAAAACAAGCGGCAAAACTATGCCAGGACGCACAATGATGTAGCCTGGCCACAGGGACCAACACCTTCGTGATGACCGGCATCTCTGACGAAGCTTCCGGGAACTCGGACGCCTCCACCTTGCCCATCTTACTCTTCGGGACCCGTGTATGAGAACAATGGCGGTGGCAGCTCTTGCTGCAAACAATCTGACCCAACAGCATGGCAGCTCCATCAGCGTCTTGGAATTTCACGACACGAGGAAATTTTCCTCTGACGCGTACACGAAGGGATTGGTCCTCTGCGCTCGGAGCCACCAACAATGGTCGCAACAGTTCGCCCGGCCTGAGGGTGTCATTATCTGACAGCCGGGCAGACTTGTTGATTTCAGCAACCACGTACAAGGCAGCTGGCAGCTGGTACAGAAGAACGGCGTGTGGCTCTGAAGACTTCTCAGACTCAATCAATTTGAAAGACTTCAGCGTCTTGTCCACGTTCATCACGCCAGCACCTGGACCTTGCGTCTGACTAGACTTAAAGCCTCACCTGTAAGAGCCGCTAGAATCTACGCAAAAGCAAGGGCTTTACTGCGCAAGTGCCAAGTACCAATCTTGTGCTTGTCTGCGTTTGAGAAAGAAAGGCCAAGCTTTTCCAAACTCCGAACGCCAGCTTTTTCTCACGAGCGGAAGCTGCCAATGCCGATGGGTGTGTGTTCTCATGATCCTCTCGTCTGACTGCTGCTCTCCATTTATTTAGGACGTGTTCGATGAGAGACATAAAACGGTAATACGTCATGGTTATTACAAGTTGTTGTTTTTGGCCCCGTCGGCCTGTAACGGCGCAAAAATCGCGTCCTCGCCTGAGCCCATTTTTGCTGGCCGTCGCAGTATTTGGCGCACATTCCAAGGCTTGGAAGCACGCGAAGTGCTGGTGCCGTCAGCAATTCTGTGTTTCAGGAAAATGTACCTTGACCC